ATGCCTTGTAAGAAGGACTAAGCGGTCGTTGAAAATATAATTCGGTTCAAGTCCGGAGTCGAATCCCACAGGGAACTAACCTATTTACTACAACTTTTAACACCGTTAATGATAAGCTCAGACAATTCCCGGATGCAAGATTTTTAATGGATAATGAGTAGAATTTAGTTAACTAAGGAAAAATGACAATAAAACTAGGAATAAAGTTGAATTCAATGGTAAAAGGGTCTAGGGCTATTGATTTTCCCAATTGTTGGATTAAATCCTGACACGTTAGCTATAATCTCGCCATAACACTCTATGAGGAGTATGAGTTCTGGGCTACCGCAATTATCTCTTGATCAATTACGATAATTACTAGAAGCATTCTCTCGAACTACTCTGGTTAACAATTTATGCAACTCAGAATTATCCCACCAAAGCTTCGTTATCTCTAGCCCCGCTTTTAAATTCAAGAAATTAATTTCTTAACTTACCCGAAGATAGTGTTGTTCAACAAACAATCTAACCAAGGGTTCTTTCTCAAGCGACACAAGATAACTAGACACGATTAATCAAGGGTCCATTCAATTAATCACAAGACAACACGTAGTTGAACAATCATAGAGTAAAATAGCTCAATTATATCAAACAGAGTCAAGACTTCATCCAACAATTGGTTCCATAAACCCTAGATGACGGGTTTAGCTACTCATACTAATAGATAAAAATTCAATATAGAAAGTCATAATCAACAATGGAATTAAGAAGAAGAAGATGAAAACTCTTAGGGAAATTCTCTGTCTTCCTCTGGTGTTCTTGCCTCCAAAATCTCTCTAAAAACAGCTATCCCCCTCTTCTGGGCGAATTAGGCTTCATATAGGTTTAGGTTAGTTGCCTTAGAAATTACATAATTGACCCTAGGTTATTGTTCTCCGTCAGCCCGTCCACGGTCGTGGATTTGACCGCGGATCTGGCCGCGGATTTCACCTAGTGTTCTGCCTTCAGCGCGTGGCCAATGCGTGGTCAATCCGCGACCGCGCACCTGGAGGGGACTTCACCACTTGCTTTTCTTTCTCCTTTTCGACCGTGCTAACCTCCGATTGGCCTTCCACGCTCCATATTGACTCCAAAACACTCTTTAGCTTCCTCATAGCTCGAAGTGGCTCCTGCAAAGCATAAAATTCTTAAATAGAGCAATTTGTTATCTTTTAGCATTTAAATATCAATAAAGTGCGGCTAAATTAAAGTGTAAATAGGATCTAAATTGCATAAATATAGCCTACTATCAACACCCCACACTTAACCATTGCTCGTCCTCGAGCAATCAAACCACACTCTACAGAGGCCTAACTTCCCTGAGCGACTTCTCTAACTCGTCACACCAAGAATATTCCACATAGATTGAGTGCATTAGTGTAACATGTACACCTCAAGAGTTGACTCCCGCGAGCCACGCAATAGTCCTACCCGGCTTACTTACTCTAACTCAGAGGTCAAGACTTACCTCTCCTTCATGAATCAAGTGTCTGCTCACAACAAAAGAGACTCATTCCACATTCAATAAAATTCACGCACACTGAGGAACTTCAAAATGAACATAATTCACTCACCCTCAGAAATGCCACCATTATCTACCATTTTCTGTAATTTTTTGCTAAGAACAAATAATCATAACACGTTAGTAAAAGAGCCAGGGACCAGCTTAATTACACGACTGTCTAGGCCCCACGGTGGACGCCAATCTATTTATCCATAAAATAATATATTTGAATTTATACGTGATTTCTAGACAAGTGAATTAGTTTGATCCTGAAATAGTACAAGAATTGAAGAATTATGCAATACTTGGCCTTGAAATGAAGACGAAATAGCAAAAACAGTCATTCCGATTGTAAAGCTTCAGGGCACAACGGTAATGAAATCAAAAAGTAAGAAGGTGAAATTGTATAAAGCTTTGAATAGATTATACCGTGAGTGAGTTTGCCAGAAAATTCATGTCTAGTGCAGTGATAGCAGAGCTCACTATTTATAGTTGCACCTACGGAACAAGGTCCTAGGATCATGCCCTTCTTTAATGTCAATTATGAGGTTCATTGAAGAATGTGTAACGGCGAGCATAAATGGCAAATTCTTTGTAACGGGCAGTGTATTAAATGATGTAGAAAATTCCCCATTAAATCCTACCGGGTGGCAGGTATTTATTGCTTATTCATGAGTGTTATTCTTTCCGGTAACAAATGGAGCAGTTGTCTTCGATTTTAGCTATCTTCTGTCTTCGGCTCCACGTGTCACTTTCTTGTGCAATTACCTAACATATGATATTTTTACCCTATACAACTCTTTTAGTGGTAATTAACCTCAATCAATATTATCAATAGTTTGGAAATATTTATTTAATGATACGGGTAGAATTAAAAAAAGTTCTCTTGATTTATTAAAGTAGACAAATAGGAAAAACAATACATTAGACAAGTAAAAAAAGAACGAGTAAGCATTTACTCTTCATACTTGACAAAACTAGTTGTTCGAAATATTTATCATTTTGAGAGTACCGATAAAGGATTAAGATCAATTTTTTTGTAAAGAAATGCATGTCGTAAACATATTCTTTTGAGACATGCACTACGAGTGTAAGGGGCCGTTTAGTAAGATGTATAAGATTAATATCGAATATGGCGTATTAGTAATGTTCGAATTATTAATGTTAAGTTTAGTTATGTTAGAACTAGTTATTCTGAGATTATTTTATATCGACTGTATAGTTTGGTATATTAATGATTTTGAAAGGGACAGTTCTGTTTTTATACATGTTTATTCATGTATTAAAAATTATAGTATTATTATGCCATGGCTTGTTATGTATATGAATAATACTGAATAGGGTATATAACTATTGAGAAACACCATCAAACAAAAGATTAATNCTTTGGCACTAATCGCAACTTTTCACCCGAGCATGGGAATCCTTGAACAGAGTTGGCCAATACAAACCCGATTCCAACACCTTAGCCGCTGTCCAAATTCCTCCAAAGTGTCCACCATATGGTGAAGCATGGCAAGCCTGCAAAATAGAATGTTGATCTTTCTCGGGGATACACCTCCGGATCATGTTATCTACACACACTTTAAAAAGTAGAGGTTCATCCCAATAATAAGACCGACAATCGCGAAAGAAATTTTTCTTTTGAATTGAAGAGAGTTCATAAGGTACAATACCGCTTGCTAATTAATTAGCAATATCAGCATAACATGGCTTCTCCTCCATTGTCACTGCTAGTAACTGTTCATCCGGGAATGTCTCTGTTATATCTTCAACCTCTACCTTCTTTTCAGCTCCTTCCAACCTTGAGAGGTGGTCTGCTACTTGGTTCTCTATCCCTTTTCTGTCACGGATCTCCAAATCAAATTCTTGTAGCAAAAGAACCCAGCAGATCAAGCGTGGCTTTGACTCCTTCTTTGCTATCAAGTACCTAATTGCTGCATGGTCAGTATAAACAATAACTTTTGAACCAATCAAGTACCACCTGAATTTGTCGAATGCAAAAACTATAGACACCATCTCTTTTTCCGTCACGGTGTAATTGAGCTGTGCACCGCTTAGCGTTCTGCTTGCATAGTAAATTGGGTGCATCAGCTTGTCCTTTCGCTGCCCCAAGACTGCTCCTATAGCATAGTCACTTGCGTCACACATGAGCTCGAACGGTTGCTCCCAGTTGGGTGCAACAATGATGGGTGCAGTCACCAGTCTCTTCTTCAGCTCCTCAAATGCCAACCTGCAATCATTAGAAAACACAAAGGGTTGATCCTTTTTAAGGAGTTTACATAAAGGGTTAGCAATCTTAGAGAAATCTTTTATGAATCGCCTGTAGAACCCGACGTTCCCAAGGAAACTTCTCACCGCCTTGACCGAAGTGGGCAGTGGCAACTTCTCAATCACGTCAACCTTAGCATGGTTGACCTGAATTCCTTTACTGGACACTCGATACCCCAACACTATCCCTTCTTGTACCATAAAATGGCACTTTTCCCAGTTCAACACTAAATTTGTCTCCACACATCTTCTGAGCACTTTTCTTAAATTGTGAAAATAGTCTTTGAATGAATCCCCTACCACGGAGAAATCATCCATAAATACCTCCATAATGTCTTTAACCATATCCGTGAAAATGGCTAACATACACCGCTGGAATGTAGCCGGTGCATTGCAAAGTCCAAAAGGCATTATCCGAAAGGCAAAGATGCCATACGGACAGGTGAAGGATGTTTTCTCTCTATCTTCAGGGGCTATGGAGATCTGATTGTACCCCGAAAATACATCCAAGAAACAGAAGTGAGACCGCCCAGCCAATCTGTCCAACATTTGGTCGATCAATGGCAAGGGAAAATGGTCCTTCCAGGTGGCTGTGTTCAATTTCCGACAATCCATTCAAATCCTCCACCCCGTGACTGTACGAGTGGAGATCAACTCGTTATTCTCATTTTGTACGACAGTCATTCCTCCCTTCTTCGACACGCACTGAACAGGGCTAACCCAGTTGCTGTCAGAGATGGGGAAGATGATACCCGCATCTAGCTACTTGATCACTTCCTTCTTCACCACCTCTTTCATATTTGGGTTCATCCGTCCTGGATGTTCTCTAGAAGGTTTGTGCCGCTCTTCCAAGAGAATCTTGTAGATGCAAAAGGTTGGGCTGATACCCTTTATGTTTGCCATGGTGCTTACATTTTTGTAACACCTGTAAGAGTTCCTCTACCTGCACAACTAGCAAACCTAATGATATAATAACAGGAAAAGTAGAATTAGGCCCTAAGAAAGCGTACCTGAGGTGAGCTGGAAGCGGTTTCAGGTCCAACTGTGGTGGCTCCTCTATCGATGGTTTTGCAGGAAGTGTTGCTCTCTCTTCTAAGCATAGGGGTTCGAACAGGGGTTCCCTTTTCCAGAGCCCTTGACCCTCGAGGGCCATGACCCACTCCTCCAACCCTTCAGCATCCATCTCTTCCAAGTTCATCAAACAGGCTTATAGTGGATCCCTGACATTAGTGGTCTCATCCTCCTCTTGCAGTATTACATCCACGGCCTTCACTAGCGAGCAATTTGCAAATTCGCTGGGTCTCCTCATGGATTGTTGAACGTTGAATATTATTTCTTCATTGTTCAACCTCACTTTCAACTCTCCAGTCTCACAATCAATCAATGCTCTCCTAGTGGCTAAAAATGGCCTTCCCAAAATGATTGGTATCTCTTCAGCCACTTGACAGTCAAGAATGACGAAGTCTATAGGGAATACAAACTTTCCCACTTGAACAAGCACATCATCAAGAATTCCTGTCAGTCTTTTGACTGCGCGATCAGCCAGTTGAAGCAACATTGAGGTCAGTCTAGCTCTGCCAATGCCCAATTTTGTATAGATTGCCAATGGCATCAAGTTTATACTGGCTCCCAAGTCACATAATGCTTTAGCAAAAGAATAACGCCCAATGGTGCATGGGATAGTGAAACTACCTGGATCAGACACCTTTTGAGCCATAGGCCTTGTCACTACCGCGCTGCAGGTCTGCGTCAGAGTTACAGTAGATAGGTACTGGAAGTCAAATTTTTGCGACATCAGGTCCTTCATCATTTTTGCATACCCTGGCATTTCCCTCAAAGCGTCCATCAGTGGAATATTTAATTGAATTTGTCTGAGCATTTCCATGAATTTTCTGTATTGATCATCTTTATTTTGCTTTGCCAACCTCTGAGGGAATAGTGCAGGAGTCAACCTCTGCCCACTGCTTTGTGTCTTTTCTTTGTTGGAAGCTTTTTCTACCACCTGTTCTGGGAGTTGTTCACCTTCCTTCTCCTTACCCTTGTCAACCTGTGCCTGTTCAATTACAACCTCGGTGAGCTCTGCTGACCCACCTGTCTCTAATATAACTGGAGTAGTTCGCGTTGTCTCTCTCCTAGATTGAGCAACTTCTTGCTCCGTATCCAAAACTCTTCCATTCCTGAGACTCACTGCCATTAGCTGATTTGGGTTCTGCTCCTTTGGATTAATGTTTGTATCTGCAGGCAATGTTCCTTGTGGGCGATTTTTCAAGGCCATAGATAGCTGTCCCAATTGAGTTTCAATTCCTTTGATTGCTGAATCATGTGCAGCTAACTTCTCTTGCATCTTTCCATTTGTCCCAATGAGTTGTTGCAGCATGCCCCTGATTTCGATCATGTTACTGTCCTGCTGTTGATGAGGTGGTTGGTATGCCAACTGTTGCTGGTGCTGCTGATTACAACGCTGCTACCTTTGATAAGGCACGACTTGGCCTTGTGGTCGTGCTCCTCCTGGATTGGGGTTGTGTTGTGGTTGGTTTGGTCTGTACTGCTGGTTTGATGTTGGTCCCCATTGCTGTCCACCTTGCCTCTGACCTCCGAAATTATTGACATAATTCATGTCTTCTCTGATGCCCTGGTTGTCATTTTCTCCACTCCACGAGCATACATATGACTGGATTATGCAAGGAGTGCATAAGCCTCCATTTGTGGTATCAACAATGTGCACCTTTTTACTACCCATCTCATCAATTTTCATTGTCAGCAAGCTCATCTGGCTCATGAGAGTGGCTATGTTTTCTGCATTTTTATTGTTTGGGTCAAGAGTGACAGAATGCACTATTGGAGTGAGTGTTGTATCTCTCTTCATATAGCCTTAATTTTGAGACATCTTGTCAAGAAGAATCTTCCTCTCTGTGAATGTTTTACTCAAGAATACACCCCCAGCAGAAGCATCTACATTGGCCTTCAGATCGTCAGCCAAACCCATATAGAATCTCTGTCCCAGCATCTGATCCGGAATGCCATGGTGCGGACATTTCACCAACATACCCTAAACCTCTCCCAGGTTTCTTGCAAAGTCTCAGTCGGTTTCTGCCTGAATTGTAATATCTCATCAATTTGCCTCGCAGTTTTGTTGGGTGGATAGAACTTGTTTAAGAGCTGCTTGACTGGTTCCTCCCAAGTAGAAATGGAGTTTATTGGGAGCGAGTTCAGCCAAGTTTGAGCCTCCCCAGTCACTGAGAATGGGAACAGTAATAATTTGATTGTTTCAGGAGTCACATTCAGCTGTCTTTGAGTGACACAAATTGATAGAAAGTTCTTCAGATGTTGTTGTGGGTCTTCAATGTACGACCCGAAGAAGAACCCCTTATTTTGCAGCAAGTGCAGCATGTTATTGGTAATCTGAAATGTCTCTGCTTGTATCTGAGGGACTACAATTATTGTGGCTAGGTTATCAGCAGTTGGTTGCGCCCAATCATAAAGAGAAGCTTCCGGCACAAGAGGTGCTACCACTCTGATGTTTGGGTCAACTTGATAATTCCCATTGTTCCCGTTGATGTTCTCGGCGTCGTCTATTTCAATTTCGAGTTAGTCATATTTTTTTAGCTGTTTGCCCCTCCTGTTAGCCCGATTCAATGCCCTAAATGCTTTTTCGGGATCTAAGAGTCCTTCAAAAAGTTCTCGAGTTCTCAAGGAGCTTCTAGGCATGCACCTGAGTCACAGAAGAGTTCAAACGTGAGAATTTCAATGGAAATATTTTTAACACTATAGAAAATTGATCTACTAATAATCCTAACAGTTCTTCCAAGTTGTAATAAATAACACCGTTAGCTCCCCGACAACGACGCCAAAATTTGATCACACCCAACTATGCCTTGTAAAAAGGATTTAGCGGTCGCTGCAAATATAATCCGGTTCAAGTCCGGAGTTGAATCCCACAGGGAACTAACCTATTTACTATAACTTTTAACACTACTAATGATAAGCTCAGACAATTCCCGGATACAAAATTTTTAATGGATAATGAGTAGAATTTAGTTAACTAAGGAAAAATGACAATAAAACTAGCAATAATCAAGAATAAAGTTGAATTCAATGGTAAAAGGGTCTAGGGCTGTTGATTTCCCCAATTTTCGGATTAATTCCTGACACGTTTGCTATAATCTCGCCGTAACACTCTATGAGGAGTATGAGTTCTGGGCTACCGCAATTATCTCTCGATCTATTACGATAATTTACTAGAAACATTCTCTCGAACTACTCTGATTAACAATTTATGCAACTCAGAATTATCCCACCAAAGCTTCGTTATCTTTAACCCTGCTTTTAAATTCAAGTAATTAATCTCTTAAATTACCCGATGGTGGAGTTGTTCAACAACAATCTAACCAAGTGTTCTTTCTCAAGAAACACAAGAAAACTAGGCACGATTAATCAAGGGCCCTTTCAATTATCACAAGACAACACGTAGTTGAACAATCATAGAGTAAAAACGGCTCAATTATATCAAATAGAGTCAAGTCTTCATCCAAAAATGGGTTCCATCAACCCTAGATGAAGGGTTTACCTACTCATACTAGTAGATAAAAATTCACTATAGAAAGTCATGATCAACAATGGAATTAAGAAGAAGAAGATGAAAACTCTTAGGGAAATTCTCTGTCTTTGCCTCCAAATTCTCTCTAAAAACAGCTATCTCCCTCTTCTGGGCGAATTAGGCTTCATATAGTTTTAGGTTAGTCGCCTTAGAAATTACATAATTGACCCTGGGTTATTGGTCTCTGTCAGCCCGTCCGTGGCCGCGGATTTCACCCAGTGTTCTGCCTTCAGTGCGTGGCCAATGCACGGTCAATCCGCTGCCGCGCACCTGAAGGGGACTTCGCCACTTGCTTTTCTTTCTCCTTTTCGACCGTGCTAACCTCCGATTGGCCTTCCACACTCCATATTGACTCCAAAACACTCTTTAGCTTCCTCATAGCGCGGAGTGTCTCCTGCAAAGCATAAAATTCTTAATTAGAGCAATTTGTTATCTTTTAGCATTCAAATATCAATAAAGCGGCTAAATTAAAGTGTAAATAGTATCTAAATTGCATAAATATAGCCTACTATTAACACCCCACACTTAAACGATTGCTCGTCCTCGAGCAATCAAACAACACTCTACAGAGGCCTAACTTCCCTGAGCGACTTCTCTAACTCGTTACACCAAGAATATTCCACATAGATTGAGTCAAGAGTTGACTCCTGCGAGCCACGCAATAGTCCTATCCGGCTTACTTACTCTAACTCAGAGGTCAAGACTTACCTCTCCTTCATGAATCAAGTGCCTGCTCACAACAAAAGAGACTCATTCCACATTCAAAAAAATTCACGCACACTGAGGAACTTCAAAATGAACAGAATTCACTCACCCTCAGAAATGATATTCTTGTGCCACATAAAACGCTCCATAGGCTTGCCCGTTGTGTACTACTCTACTAACTGAGCTCATTTAGTCTAGGATCAAATAGGTCTTTAATTTGCTGTAATGTAGGCTACAGGTCGGGTAGGATATATTTGGATATAATAGTGACTACACCTCCCTAAGCAGTTCAATACATATATTTTATAATCAAGCCCACACTTAAGTTAAACCAACATTTCCACCTTCAACACCACATATATCACCCCATACTTCTTTGAGCACAATCACCTTAAAAACCACCAAAGAAACATTAATAATCAACATAATGCACTATTAATATTTTTTTTCAATTCAAGCAGCTTTTTCAACAAGGTGCACCTTTCTCCTTATTTCCCTAGTTCCACTCAAAAAGCCCCACCAACTACCCCACACTTTATCCTTTATAGATTCATAGTAATTCAAGTGCTTACGAGAGGTAAATGGTTCAAATAGATGGTCAATTCCAACAAGAGATAAGGCTTATAATGTGGTTGCCAAGGAAATAGGATTACATGCTCAACGGGGTTAACTACGAAACATAACAAATAGGTGAGTGGAATATATATATATGGTTCAACAAAGAAATGCCTATGTCACTTCCCAGACTAAACAAGACTACTATTTCGCTTTGCAGACACAGGGGGAAGTTCTAGGCATCAAATGTCGTGCACAGAATACAACTAGCCTCACACATACATGGCACATGACTCACTCTAGATTGGATCTTCAAACACTCTGATCAGGGTACTTAAGACAAATTAAGAACATACATTTTAAGGCATTCCTACAAGAGTCAACAACTGAGCCTAAGCGTCACACTAAAGTACCCACTATATTCAAGGCATTACGACGTTAAGAGATCCTATTTCTATTTCCGCCCATAGCCCACAAGTTCCTAACTAACAATAAAAAAACTAACTACACTCGGTCCAAATGAAACCTTGGAAAAGAGCCATGGCTTAAAGAAAAACCAAGGGGGAATTGATACACTACTACAAAAGAAAATCTTTTTGTGTTTTTTCTCTTCGACTTTAGTCCCTCAAGAAACCCGTCAAATGATATCCATCGTCGAGACAAGTCGAAAATGATTTATGTAAATAAACTACGAAACTATTCTACATACAACATAAAAACAATGTATCCCCCACCCCACACTTAAAATGATGGCATGTCCCCATGTCATACAAAATTAAGTAATGCGAGGTAAAGGAACTTCCCCGATAGATCAGTCTTATTCAGAGACAGTGCCGGGGTCGAGATGACATGCCCTCCCCAGCGCACGCAGTCAGGCCATGATTTTTTTCTCTAACTTCGCATTCTGGGGTGGCCAAGGCATCAACTCTAGCCCCCAATTCCATGGAAGTGCGCAACCCTACCATTTCCTGTTCTAGGGCTGTCATCCGCGTACTCTATCTGAATGCAGATGGTCTTTCAACCACGACAACTTGTTCCTGTGGAGGTGAGAAAGGCCCAACTTCCTCCTGCTCTTTATCTCCCTCCTCCGACGCCTCAGAATCATCACTATGAGCCGCACCAGTTACCATCGTATCCTTCCCAATGGTAACTTTGCTTCTTTCTTCACCTTGCCATCCACATTTGGGTTCTGTAGCACCCTTGCTACCCGGCACAATCTAGTGACCAGTCAGAGGAAAAAGAACCCATACCTCTTCAGTGGTGAACAGATGAACATCTCAAACTGAATAACCTTGGCCACATCAAAATCGTGGCCATTCACGAAGCACCAGATCAAGGCAGCTCTCGAACCATTTACCTTAGTGGTGTTCTGGGACGACAGCGGTCGACTATTGATGATGTACAACCAACACTTTCCTTCAAAGGCGAGTGAGGCTGAGTGCAACTTCAATTCCGGCACAACCCGCACTACCTCTTTGTCTGCTACACAGATGGTTCTGAATAACTTGTGCCAATGTGTTGGTCCTCGCCGGTAATCATCATAGTAATCCACCTCCCCATTGAATACAGATAATCGATACACTCTCCTGATGAATTCTATCGAGGCATTCACCCTCTTTTTTTGCATAGTGCAGATGTGATCCTCATGTTCAGAACAGTTGGCATAGAATTACCGGACAAGCATCAAGTTACCCTCCTTCAGCTCATCGAAGAAGATGTCCAGCCTGCGCCTGATCAGGGACCCCCCGTCAATTCCCCTTTCCGGTATAGGCTTTCTAATAGCGCTCAAACTGAAATGGTCTTGGGCAAATCTGGAGAAAAACCTGGTACGATTAAACTGAGCTGAACTGGCCGGTGCTCGTGCCCGGGACGAGCCTCCATGACCACTTGACGAGGCACTGGTAGTGCGTCTCTTCTTTGAAGGTCTCATGGTACCTACACAACAAACACCACTATCAATAATCAACGGAATGTGTGAGCCAAGGGGGGTTACTCAGACTTCACTCGCACAATTGGTCACAATTTATACTAAAAACTCATTGTGGCGATTCAGCAAACACTTACTGTGCATAGGCCCCCCAATTTACCCAAAGACCCAATTAAACTTCCATTCTTCATATTTTGGGGAAGAGGGGAGGGGGCGGGTTTTAGATTTTGTTACGGGGAGGGGAGAAAGAAGTGAGGGAGTGGGCGGTTAAGATAAGAGTTAGGTAAAAGAAAAAAAAACTATTTAAACGGGAAGAAAATAAAATAAAATAAAATAAAATAAAATTTAACTGAACCTGAACGACGCCTCATCCACGATCAATCCTCCGTCGAATTCGCGGGTGCGGACGTGCAACAGTGACCAGTGCAAAATCCGCGGTTGAATTCGCGGCCACGGATTTCGACCTCCAGAATTTTTTGTTCGCTTTTTTGCCCTTTTGCCTATCTCTAGGATAATTTTGTCACCCCGAGTCCTTCCGCTGCGCATAATTTCGTCCCTGCACATTAGTAGATCGGTCAATATTGTCACCATTCAAAATCAATTACAAAAATAAGAACAATGAAAAATAATGGGTTGCCTCCCAAATAGCGCCTAATTTAACGTCGCGACACGACAATTTATCACAAACCATGGGTTGCCTCCCAGGAAGCGCATGATTTAATGTCGCAGCATGGCGCATGCTTTCATTATTACTCTTCGCTCGTGTAATGGGGCTCTTCCAAAGATATTACCACTCTATCCCCCTTTTCTTCGACCATTCCAAGGTAATGTTTCAACCTTTTCCCATTCACTGTGAACTTATTTGTTCCATCTTCGGATTTAATTTCTACAGCTCCACTTGAGAACACTTGCACCACTCTGAATGGTCCTGACCATCGGGACTTCACTTCAGCCGGAAACAATCTTAATCTCAAGTTGTATAACAACACTAGTTCTTCGGGATCTGAAGTTCCGATCTAGAATATGCTTATCATGCATCATTTTCATCCTTTCTTTGTACAATCTTGCATTCTCAAATGGATGGAACCTAAATTCCTCTAGTTTATGTAACTCAGTGACTCTACTGGTGCCTACAGTCTCCATATCCAAATTTAACTGCCGCAGTGCCCAAAGGGCTTTATGCTCAAGCTCCACCGGAAGGTGGCATGCTTTCCAAACACCAACTTGTATGGCGACATACCAATTGAAGTTTTAAATGTTGTGCAGTACGCCCATAATGCATCATCCAACTTCTTCGCCCAATCAATCCTTGTTGCATTCACTGTCTTGGTCAGGACACTTTTGATTTCCCGGTTGGACACTTCAACTTGCCCGCTCGTCTGTGGGTGATAAGGTGTGGCCACCTTATGGCGAACTCCATACTTTTCCAACAACCGTGCGAACACTCTATTGCAAAAATGTGTTCCACCATCACTGATTATAGCTCTCGGGGTGCCAAAATGTGTGAAGATGATTTTCTTTAGAAAGCCTGTCACCCCTTTTGCATCATTGGTTGGGAGAGCCACAACTTCAACCCATTTGGAGACATAGTCAACTGCTAGCAATATGTATTTGTTACCATACGAGCTGACGAATGGCCCCATAAAGTCAATCCCCCACATGTCAAATAGCTCCACTTCCCGAAAAAGTAGTCATCAGCGTCTTGTGACGTCGAGATATGTTGTCTGTCCTTTGGCACTCATCACAAGTTTTCACCCAAGCATGGGCATCCTCGAACAGAGTTGGCCAATACAAACCTGATTCCAACACCTTAGCCGTTGTCCGACTTCCTCCAAAGTGTTCACCATATGATGAAGCAAGGCAAGCCTGCAAAACAGAATGTTGATCTTTCTCGGGGATATACCTCCGGATCATGTTATCTACGCATATTTTAAAAAGTAGAGGTCCATCCCAACAATAAGACCGACAATCGAGAAAGAACTTTTTCTTTTGAATTGAAGAGAGTTCATAAGGTACAATACCGCTTGCTAAATAATTAGCAATACCAGCATACCATTGCGTCTCCTTTATTGTCACTGCTAGTAACTATTCATCCGGAATGTCTCTGTGATATCATCAACCCCTTCCTTCTTTTCAGCTCTTTCCAACCTTGAGAGGTGGTCTGTTACTTGGTTCTCTGTCCCTTTTCTATCACGGATCTCTAGATCGAATTCTTATAGCAGAAGAACCCAACGGATCAAGTATGGCTTTGACTCCTTCTTTGCTATCAAGTACCTAATTGCTGCATGGTCAGTATAAATAATAACTTTTGATCCAATCAAGTACGACCTAAATTTGTCGAATGCAAAAACTACAGACAACAACTTCTTTTTCTGTCACGGTGTAATTGAGCTGTGCACCGCTTAGCGTTCCGCTTGCATAGTAAATTTGGGTGCATCAACTTGTCCTTTTGCTGCCCCAAGACTGCTCCTTTAGCATAGTCACTTGCGTCACACATGAGCTCGAACGGTTGCTCCCAGTTGGGTGCAACAATAATGGGTGCAGTCACAAGTCTCTTCTTCAGCTCCTAAAATGCCAACCTGCAATCATTAGAAAACACAAAGGGCTAATCCTTTTCAAGGAGTTTACATAAAGGGTTAGCAATCTTAGAGAAACCTTTTATGAATTGCCTATAGAACCCGACGTGCCCAAGGAAACTTCTCAACGCCTTGACCGAAGTGGGCGGTGGAAACTTTTCAATCACGTCAACCTTAGCATGGTCGACCTCAATTCCTTTACTGGACACTCGATGCCCCAACACTATCCCTTCTTGTACCATAAAATGGCACTTTTCCCAATTCAGCACTAAATTTGTCTCCACATATCTTCTGAGCACTCTTATTAAATTGTGAAGACAGTCTTCGAATGAATCCCCCACCACAGAGAAATTATCCATATGTACCTCCATAATGTCTTCAACCATATCCGTGAAAATAGCTACATATACCGCTGGAATATAGCTGGTGCATTGCAAAGTCCAAAAGGCATTCTCCGAAAGGCAAAGATGCCACACGGACAGGTGAAGGATGTTTTCTCTCTGTCTTCAAGGGCTATGGAGATCTGATTATACCCCGAATATCCATCCAAGAAACAGAAGTTAGACCGCCCAGCCAACTTGTCCAACATTTGGTCGATGAATGGCAAGGGAAAACGGTCCTTCCAAGTGGCTGTGTTCATTTTCCGATAATCCATGGAAATCCGCTACCCCGTGACTGTACGAGTCGAGATCAACTCGTTATTCTCATTTTGTACGAAAATCATTCCTCCTTTCTTCGGCACACACTAAACAGGGCTAACTCAGTTGCTGTCAGAGATGGGGAAGATGAGACCCGCATCTAGCTACTTGATCACTTCCTTCTTCACCACCTCTTTCATATTCGGGTTCAGTCGTCGTTGATGTTCTCTGGAAGGTTTGTGCCCCTCTTACAAGAGAATCTTATGCATGCAAAAGGCTGGGCTGATACCCTTTATGTCTGCCATGGTCCAACCAATGACAGTCTTACATTCTTGTAACACCTGTAAGAGTTGCTCTACCTACAAAGCTAGCAAAAGATGATATAATAATAGGTGAAGTAGAATTAGGCCCTAAGAAAGTGTACCTGAGGTGATCTGAAAACGGTTTCAGGTCCAACTGTGGTGGCTCCTCTATCAATGGTTTTGCAGGAGGTGTTGCTCTCTCTTCTAAGCGTAGGGGTTCGAACTGGGGTTCCCTTTTCCAAAACCCTTGACCCTCGAGGGCCATGACCCACTCCTTCACCCTTCACCATCCATCTCTTCCAAGTTCATCAAACAGGCTTCTAGCGGATCCCTGACATTAAGGGTCTCATCCTCCTCTTGCAGTATTACATCCACGGCCTCCACTAGCGAGCAATTTGCAAATTCGCTGGGTCTCCTCATGGATTATTGAACGTTGAATATTATTTCTTCATTGTTCAACCTCACTTTCAACTCTCCAGTCTCACAATCAATCAATGCTCTCCCAGTGGCTAAAAATGCCTTCCCAAAATGATTGGTATCTCTTCATCCCGTTGACAGTCAAGAATGACGAAGTCTGCAGGGAATACAAACTTTCCCACTTGAACAAGCACATCATCAAGAAATCCTGTCGGTCTTTTGACTGTGCGATCAGCCAGTTGCAGCAACATTGAGGTCAGTCTAGCTCTACCAATGCCCAATTTTGTATAGATTGCCAAGGGCGTCAAGTTTATACTGGCTCCCAAGTCACACAATGCTTTAGTGAAAACATAACTCCTAATAGTGCATGGGATAGCAAAACTACCTGGATCAGACACCTTTTGAGCCATAGGTCTTGTCACTACCGCACTGCAGGTCTGCGTCAGAGTTACAGTGGACAGGTCCTGGAAGTCAATTTTTTGCGACATCAGGTCCTTTATCATTTTTGCATACCCTGGCATTTCCCTCAAAGCATCCATCAGTGGAATATTCAATTGAATTTGTCTGAGCATTTCCATGAATTTCCTTTATTGATCATCTTTCTTTTGCTTTGCCAACCTCTGAGGTAATGGTGCAGGAGTCAACCTCTGCCCACTGCTTTGTGTCTTTTCTTTGCTGGAAGATTTTTCTACCACCTGTTCTGGGAGTTGTTCAGCTTCCTTCTCCTTACCTTTGTCAACCTGTGCCTGTTCAATTATAACATCGGTGAGCTCTGCTGACCCATCTGTCTCTAATGTAACTGGAGTAGTTGGCATTGTCTCTCTCCTAGATTGATCAACTTCTTGCTCCCTGTCTAAATCTCTTCCATTCCTGAGACTCACTGCCATTAGCTGATTTGGGTTCTCCTCCTTTGGATATTTGTATCTGCAGGCAATGTTCCTTGTGGGCGATTGTTCAAGGCCATAGATAGTTGTCCCATTTGAGTTTCAATGCCTTTGATTGCTGAATCATGTGGAGCTAACTTATCTTGCATCTTTCCATTTGTCCCAATGAGTTGTTGCAGCATGCCCCTGATTTCGATCATGTTACTGTCCTGCTGTTGATAAGGTGGTTGGTATGCCAACTGTTGCTGGTGCTGCTGATTATAGCCTGCTGCCTTTGATAAGGCACGACTTGGCCTTGTGGTCATGCTCCTCCTGGATTGAGGTTGTGTTGTGGCTGGTGTGGTCTGTACTGCTGGTTTGATATTGGTCCCCATTGCTGTCCACCTTGCCTCTGACCTCCGAAATTATTGACATAATTCATGTCTTCTCTGAAGCCCTAGTTGTCATTCTCTCCTCTCCACGAGCACACATATGGCTGGTTTATGCAAGGAGTGCATAATCCTCCATTTGTGGTATCAACAATGTGCACCTATTTCGTACCCATCTCATCAATTTTCTTAGTCAGTAAGCTCATCTGGGACATGAGAGTGGCTATGTTTTCTGCATTTGTATTGTTTGGCTCAAGAGCGATAGAATGCACTATTGGAGTGAGTGTTGTGTCTCTCGTTATCCAGCCTGAATTTTGAGACATCTTGTCAAGAAGAATCTTACACTCTGTGAATGTTTGCTCAAGAATGCACCACCGACAGAAGCATCTACATTGGCCTCCAGACCGTCAATCAAACCCATATGGAATCTCTGTCCCAGCATCTGATTCGAAATGCCATGGTGCGGACATTTCACCAACATACCCTTAAACCTCTCCCAGGTTTCTTGCAAAGTCTCAGTCGGTTTCTGCCTGAATTGCAATATCTCATCAATTTGCCTCGCGGTTTTGTTGGGTGGATAGAACTTGTTTAAGAACTGCTTGACTAGTTCCTCCCAAGTAGCAATGGAGTTTATTGGGAGCGAATTCAACCAAGTTTGAGCCTCCCCAATCACTGAGAATGGGAACAATAATAATTTGATTGCTTCAAGAGTCACATTCGGCTGTCTTTGAGTGACACAAATTGATAGAAAGTTCTTCAGATGTTGTTGTGGGTCTTCGATGTATGACCCGGAGAACAACCCCTTATTTTGCAGCAAGTGCAGCATGTTGTTGGTAATCTGAAATGTCTCCGCTTGTATATGAGGGACTACAATTGCTGTGGCCAGGTTATCAGCAGTTGGTTGCGCCAATCATAAAGAGCAGCTTCCGGCACAAGAGGTGCTACCACTCTGATGTTTGGGTCAACTCGATCATTTCTATTGTTCCCATTGATGTTCTCAGCATCGTCCATTTCAATTTCGAGTTAGTCATTTTGTTTTAGCTGTTTGCCCTTCTTGTTAGTCCGATTCAATGCCCTGAATGCTTTTTCAGGATCTAAGAGTCCTTCAAAAAGTTCTCCAATTCTCAAGGAGCTTCTAGGCATGCACCTAAGTCACAGAAGAGTTCAAACTTGAGAATTTCAATGGAAATATGTTTAACACCACAGAAAATTGATCTACTAATAATCCTAGCAGTTCTTCCAAGTTGTAATAAATAACACCGTTAGCTCCCCGGCAACGACGCCAAATTTGATCATGCCTAACTATGTCTTGTAAAAAGGACTAAGCGGTAGCTGCAAATATAATCCAGTTCAAGTCCGTAGTCGAATCCCACAAGGAACTAACCTATTTACTATAACTTTTAATACTGCTAATGATAAGCTCAAACAATTCCCGAATGCAAGATTTTTAATGGATAATGAGTAGAATTTAGTCAACTAAGGAAAAATGACTATAAAACTAGCAATAATCAAGAATAATGTTGAATTCAATGGTAAAAGGGTCTAGGTCTATTGATTTCCCCAATTGTTGGATTAATTCCTGACACGTTTGCTATAATCTCGCCGTAACACTCTATGAGGAGTATGAGTTTTGGGCTACCGCAATTATCTCTCAATCAATTATGATAATTTACTAGAAGCATTCTCTCGAACTACTCTGGTTAACAATTTATGCAACTCAGAATTATCCCACCAAAGCTTCGTTATCTCTAACCGTGCTTTTAAATTCAAGTAATTAATCTCTTAACTTACCCGAAGGTGGTGTTGTTCAACAACAATCTAACCAAGTGTTATTTCTCAAGCAACACAAGAAAACTAGACACGATTAATCAAGGGCCCTTTCAATTAATCACAGGACAACACGTAGTTGAACAATCATAGAGTAAAAATGGCTTAATTATATCAAACAGAGTCAAGACCTCATCCAATAATTGGTTACATCAACCCTAGATGACGGGTTTAGCTACTCATAATAATAGATAAAAATTCACTATAGAAAGTCATGATCAACAATGGAATTAAGAAGAAGAAGAAATATTTTAGGGAAATTCTCTGTCTTCCTCTGGTGTTCTTGCCTCCAAAATCTCTCTAAAAAGAGCTATCCCCCTTTTTCTGGGCAAATTAGGCTTCTTATAGGTTTAGGTTAGTCTCCTTGGAAATTACATAATTGACCCTGGGTTATTGGTCTCCGCCAGCCCATCCGCGGCCGCGAATTTGACCGCGGATCTGGCTGCGGATTTCACTAGTGTTCTGCCTTCAGTGCGAGGCCAATGCGCGGTCAATCCGCGACCGCGCACCTGGATGGGAATTTGCCACTTGCTTTTCTTTCTCCTTTTCGACCGTGCTAACCTCTGATTGGACTTCCACGCTCCATATTGACTCCAAAACACTCTTTAGTTTCCTCATAGCTTGGAGTGGCTGCTACAAAGCATAAAATTCTTAATTAGAGCAATTTGTTATCTTTTAGCATTCAAATATCAATAAAGCGCGGCTAAATTAAAGTGTAAATAATATCTAAATTGCATAAATATAGCCTACTATCAAGCCACTGCGCCAGATGATGTCATACAAGTATGCTTTCGGTTTATTATAGAGGATCACCATTCGTATTTTGTTACAGTTTTGCTTATCGGGGCGAGTTCCCCTATTTGTTGCTCTACCTATGGGTGAGTTCATGACTCAGTATTCTATTTATGTGTTTGCCCTTGTTGGGAGATTCTATGAGTGGTATCCCGTGTCCATCATTTGATTCTATTCGTTATTAAGAGTTACGAGACTAGTAGTGAATTCCTGTTGTCCATTACAGTAGGCTTGATGTGATTCCTGAGTATATTGGTTACGAGCTGTGATTTTTATGATCCACCGGTGTGGGAGATAGTACTTGTTGTAATTTGTGATGGAATTGATCTTGTGGAAGGTTTCACCTGGTTTGATGTATATTCTACTTGTGATTCAGAGTTGAGAGTATGACCCTCGCGATTTTATGTGATTTGATGTGTTTGAACCGGGCTGTGTATCGCGGTGGAAGTTATATCAAGATGAGATCCTTGTGAATTGTTCATATACTTTGATTTTTCCTTGTAAATTGATTCGTAGAATAGTACCGATAGAGAGTTGTGCCTGTTGGGCTTGTTTGGTAATTCTCTTATATGTTTCTCCTTACATATTCAGTCATTTTCGTTCCGTGCTTCTTGAGTCTTAGCTTGCAGGGTGTGTGCCCGGTGGTTTTAGTTGTGACTTGTTGATTTGGGTATATAGTTATGAGGTATTCGTGTTCCTTGCATCGCTGTCAGTGTTGTGGAGGTTTGAAACAGAGTTCTAACGAATATGAGGCTAATTGCCGGTGCTGGATTTGATTTTGGGCAGCTATTGTGATCAGAAATGTTATTATGGGACTATGTGTGGTGAGTCACGTTGTGTGGTTGTACCTTGTGGGAGTAGGCATAAGTTGTTGCAGCTGGTTGATACTGATAAGGGTGTGAATGTAAGAATCGAATTTTTTTGGAGATGAACGGAAGGTGAGAATTTTGACTCTAAGGATTTTTGGTGTTAGTGGAAGGGGTAAATTACTGTTGAGATGGTGTCGTCAGGATCATATGGATTGGGGTGACGAGGGGTCACCCGCGGGTGTATGTTGGATGTGTGCATTCAATGAATTGATGACCTTTTTGAGGCAATTCTTGGCACATTCGAGGACGAACGTTTGTTTAAGAGGGGCAGGATGTAACGTCCCGCCTGGTCGTTTTGGGAATTTAAGATCCGTTCAGCGGCATAGGGTCTTAAGCAGCTTCGTATTATGTGTTATGACTTGCGTGCGTGGTCGAGTTCAGTTACCGGATGATTCAGAGTCAAATTGGAAGAAGGATTCCAGTTTTGGAAGCTTAAGCGGTGAGAGTTGACCGGGATTTTGACTTTGTGTGAACGGCTCCAGAGTGGGTTTTGGATGAATTCAACAGCTTCGTATGGTTATTTGGGACATAGGCATGCGTCCGGATTTGGATTTGGAGGTCCGTAGAGTAATTTGAAGCATTTCAACGAAAGTTGGAAAAATTGATGTTTTGGAAGGTTGAGAGGCTTGACCAAGAGTTGACTTTGGTGATATCGGGGTCAGATTCCATTTCTGGAAGTTGGAAAAGGTCCATGATTGTGTAAAAAATTTGGGGTTAATCGGACGTGGTTTGATAGGTTTCGACATTAGTTGTAGAAATTTGAAGCGTCAAGTTCATTAAG